GGCTGGACATGAAATCACAACCAAAGTCACCACCTGGTCCTTTAATACTGCTGTAGACCTCACATATAATGGAACGATCTGACAGGCAGAGTTACAGCTTTGCCTGCTGAGAACATGCCAGAACAACTCAATTTCAATCACGCTGAAGTCGCTAAGAAGGAACCTCGCTATTAAATGTAACCAGTTGAGTGACCTTGTGACCCAGTTGAGAGTTTTCCTCCATTGAAGTCAATATTTTAATTGTATTTAGTATGTTGATTCTTAGAACAGTAGGATCTTGGGAAAGAATCTACATAAAAAGGATGGAAGAATGCAATGTAGAAAAATTGTATTTTCAGTTACATTACTTTTTAAAAATAATTCTGTTTAATCATTCTGTCTGCTTGCTTGCTTGTGACTCAGTCAAAAATGTAACACCTCCACCAGTGAAACCTTTTGCTCCTTCTATTTCTCCTCCTTTATCCAGTTTATTACAACATTTGTATGCTGAAAGAAATTCAGACCAAAGTCTTCATTGCTCTTGGCTTACTGTACAAAGCCAGAGTATTCCATGGCAGTACCGAAAATTATAGTTCAGGAATTATTGCAAGGTATTTACAACAATTATTATTTTCTTTCAGTTTGAAATAAAATACTTCTGAGACATTGTTTAAGATCTGGAAGGAAAAGGTCATCTTAAAATATCCCTGTCAATCGAGATGTTTTTCTTGATTTCACAGGGCTCGATAAGGACACTCTTAGACCTGATAATGTTTCTGGCCTGCAGAACATTTTTTTCTGTTAGATAATAGAAAATCCTAGACAACTGATAAGAAGGTAAATATCTGTATTATATGAATTAGTTTACATATGCAATCTTGACAGTGTAAAAAAAAAAAAGACTAAAAATCAAATATTTATCTGAAAAGGTAACACATTCAGAATTACTTATGGAAAATGAATTTTCTCCTGACAGAAGGAATGCATTACTTAACAGAGAGGTAAGAGCTATTAAAGGAGGCACAATCACTGGCACATGTTCTTTATCACTTTAACTGAATAACTCAAAATTCATTTCTTGCAGAGAAATCCTCTACTGGAGAACGGGTAACAAGCCTTCCTTTTTTATGGCCTGTGGTATGAAAGCACATTCATAGGCAAGGGCCATCATCACAGTTCTACTGTGTTCCCATGGTTGTGGGTTGCAGGGCAACCTCTCAGGGCCAGTTGTTCCAGGGTCAGGTTGGCTTGAAGTGACTAGGAGAATGTGAACGTGAAACCCGCTCTCCAGAAAGAAAACACACAGTTCTTCATTGCTGAACTACATTACGATTGACTGCAGCGTGATGGGGATATATTTATTCTTACAGAAATCTCTCTAAGCAAAAGCTTGCTTGCTTCTGGATAGAGTGCAAAATATTTTTCTTCTCATGGAGGGCACAATTCTAGAAATGATGTTACCTGACAAGTCCTGTCAATGGGTAGGTATTTTTTGGTTAGCTGAGATGTCAGCAGTAGTGTAATGTATTGCTCCTCTTCACTGGAATTGCTAATGGTGCAATTCAGGCAGTACAAAAATGGAAGTTCAAGAATTTCCACCATCTGGTGTTTCTCTATAACTAAAAGTGATTTATCTCATTTGCAGCAAACTGCAGTGTCAGAGATGCTGCAGGAAACAAGGTCACAGCTGTGCTTGAAAATTCTCCAGGATTTGCCAGAGAGATCAGGTATTGTATACAGTTAAAATATACACAGCCTGTATACCTAACATTTCATATTATGCTCTCTATGCTCCATAATTATAGAAATATAGATGGAGTGGCTATGTTTATTTCAGTGAAGTATAAACATCTGTGCATTATCATTATCTGTCAGCTATGTAGCATCCTAACAAGTGAACATTAACATCACAAATCCAGCAAATCTGTGGTTCTTTATTGGAGCACAAAACAGTCCTGCTGGGTCAGGCTAAAGATAAGTATGCTCTGGTGTCCTATTTCCTACATAAGGTCCCAACATGAGACCTCCTGGTCAAAGTCCTCCTAACTCTGGTGAAGACGGCCAGATGGGGGGATTCTGGCAATGATGGAGCCTATTTCCATTCCTTCAGCCGTTCCTATCTACAAGTACCACGGAGCAGCGAACACCGGGTACAAGGTTATGTGATTAAAGGCTCATCTCCATAAACATAAAGGAGCACAGAGGAACAATGGCAGGGAGAGAAACCCAAATAACCTAAGCACCCGGACCTGGCTCCTCATAGGACTGTCACAGGACAGCGATGAGCCCACTCTCCTCGTGTGAAACCCACCAAGATGAGTCAATGAGATGGTCTCTGGATCACCTTTCAGAGTGAGAGAGGGTTACCGACTACAGGGGTATAGGACTGATTATGGGATGTGGGGGAAGAGTATTTTGGCATTGCACAAAATGTATTATGGGATGTTTAGGGGAAGGACCAAAGGTGGAGAAAGAGAGAGATCAAGGTGACTGGGGGAGAAACCAGTGTGGGAAAATGGAGGGATGAGGGATAAAAGGGCTGATCACATGTAAACATGTTGCTGGCCAGTACGCTTGTCTGGCCATGCCCTGCCCCTGATCACCACAATCTGTCCTAATTAAATTCAATTTCTAACTATTTTCCTGGGTGAGAGGACTCTCTACTCTGTGTGCATGTGTGTTTATGGAGGTCTAAGGACCAGCAACTGAAACTGGTCACAGGTCATAGGGGCCTGTGTATCTGGAGTGTCAGCAACTGGAGAGGCTGGAATGTGTGCATCCTGTGTAGGTGTGTATGTCCAGGGGTAATCACTAGCAAACATCAAGCTGGACTAGCTGGCAAGCACAATAAGAGGCCTGGGAGACAAATATTGGAGCAGCCATAAGCCTTGCCAGATACTGGAGAGATCAGAGTGGTCCAAGAGTTAGCTACTAGAGGGTCCAGGAGGTCCAGCCCAGCTACTGCAGATTGTGAGGTCTGGGGGTCAACTGAGAGACTCTTTTGCATGTGTGTGTGCCTCTGTGCACAAGGCAATTGGAGACCAGAGGATCCACAGGCCAGCAACAGGGTAGGCTGAGTGTTTAAGGCCAGTTACTGGAGGGATCCATAATATGTGTGTGTTTGTGCATGCATTTGTGTGTGCAAGGGGGTCTGCATACCAGGAAATGGAGAGAAGCTTTGGGTCTTGGGGGCTTGCATACCCAAATGTTAGCAACAGGGGAGACCAGGTGCCACTTACTGGATAGAATGAATGTCTGAGGCCAATTACTGAGGGAATCCGTAGTGGGTGTAGGGAGGGACGATGTCTGAGCACCAGCAATCAGAGTGGGGCTTCAGACCTCAGGAGCTCAGGTCCAGGTGCCAGCACCTGGGAGGAGCCGGGGTCCAGAGGCCAGCTACTGGAAACACCAAGTGTCTAAGGCCAGCTACTGGTAGGATCCGTATTGTATACAGGTATACATATTTTCCACCAATGGACTTTCACTCTGATCAGCCAGAGAGGAGGACAAGATGAGGCCATTGCTGCTGTGCTTCCGTGAGGGCTGTGTCAATCTGCACGGCTGGACGTGTATACATGTATGTATTGTGCGTACATATGCACGTGTGACCACTGGGAATAAATGCTCCACCTCACTACTCACTGAACCTGGGAAAATGCAGCTGTGGCAGCCTCGCCTCTATCAGGCTACTGCATTTGGCAGCTCCTAACAGTGGACGTTGCTCTGCTTGATGTCCATTTCCGGCTATCTACCCGTGCTCTCTTTTTTCATTTTTCATCCTTGCAATTATTTGGTTTTCTCAGGACTTTTTTTCTGCTCTTCCTTTGATGACTGAGGAAAATCAACAGGACAAGTGGCCATACAGGGCCACAGCATGGCTGAGGTTGGAAGGGACCTCTGGAGATCATCTAGTCCAGCCCCCCTGCTCAAGCAGGGTCCTCTAGAGTGCGTTACCCAGGATGGTGTCTAGACAGCTCTGGAATATATCCAGGGAAGGAGACTCCACTCCCTGCCTGCACGGTGATCAGGCATCACGTTGGGGCCACACAGCTGGGCACCCCTCAGCCCCAGGCCTCCCTATCCCACCACGGCCCACAGGGAGGGCGACGGTGACCTCAGCACCCCGAAACCTGGTGGGAGCACCATAACATCCCCACAGCGTTGCTCCGGTGCCGGGGTTATAGAGACTGCCCGCCAGCATTGCTCCCCACCCCCCATCCCCTTCAACACCACCTCCCTCCCCACCCCTCCTCCTCTGCCCTGGCGCCATCTTGGGCACCT